AGCTGTGGAAGGTGGTTGTAAAAAGATCTGAGAAAAAAAAATGTAGACACTAATAGTAAAACAACTTTAATATAGACATTAGTAGCAAAACAACTTTACACTGTTATTTAGTCACAAAACACCCTTTCAATGAGTTTTAGTTTTTATAAATTAATTTAAACTAAAAATAATTTATATTAATAGTACTGGTTGACAATGTGAATTTTTTTTAAAATCCCAATGATGAGCTTTAAATCATCTTCATTTGGCCGTCCATTTCTCGACATTAGTAAGAGATTAAGGATAATACTTGTTGGATGATAGACAAGGTTGTGACGTTAATTTTTGGACTGATGTGTGGTGTATGGAGATGTCCATTGTAGACGCATTGCATGTCGTTATTGCTTCACAACATCTTTTCCGATCAATTGGTGATTGTTTTGTGCAGGATTCTACTTGGTGTATTCCTAAATGGCTTTTGTTTTTGCTCTCATTGTTGTTTTCAGCTTTAGCACATATTCCCCCTCCTTATGGTAGTGATCATTAAGATCAATCGATGCGACGCCTTACAAGCATTGGTACTCTTACATTGAAGGAAACGTTTATGCATGATAGGACTACTAGGTTCTGTGGGCTAAACACCTATGGTTCAATACTTTCCCCACCCTTTTGGTCTTGTGTTATGGAGGCTTCTTCATATTAAATTTCCAATTGATAGGAATCTAAGGTCTCATGGTATAGTTCTTTGTCTCTATGTGAACCTATTGTGGTTCTACTGATGAGAGCTTTGATCATCTTTCCTTCATTGCCAGTTCACCAATGTTATTTGACCTTGGCTACAAGAAGTCATCCAACATCCTCTTGATCGGTTATCAATTCCTATGTTGCTTAAGATTATGGAGCATTGGAGTGATTAACTTTTTGATGTTATGGATTCAACAATGGTGCGTGTCTTTTGGGTGATATGGTATGGTACAAATTGTTTGCACTTCAAAAATACAACAATTTCATCACAACAAGTGATTTCGTGGATTGTTGTTGGGGTTGCATTGTCTAGTAGGTTGTCCAAAGGATATAGCTCACAATCTTTGGAAGAATTCCACATCATGAAGAAACTTCTAGCTACTCTTAGGCCTCCCATTGGCCATGTTATTAAGCAAGTGGATTGGTGTATCCTCGGTTGTTGGCTTCATTAAGTGTAACACTAGTGGAGGAGTTTATGGAGCACCGGGGCATGCGGCTAGTGGAGGTATATTTTGGGATAGTATGTAGTGAGGCTTTCATAGGTGGCTTCATTTCCTATATTGGAGTGAAAACTACTCTAGAGCTAGAACTCACTACAATTATGATTGTAATTGAGTATGCTCATACAGTTGATTGGCACAAACTATGATTGGAGAGTGATTAAGAATTAGCTCTGAAAGCTTTTACTAATGTGAACCTCGTCCCTTTGAATCTCGGCAGCCAATAGAAGCAATGTTTATTTTTTTATTCATAAATGCATTTTCTATTTTCTCACATCTATAGTGAAGGAAATCATTGTGTTGACAAATTAGCTAGTTTTGGACTTGCATTTAGATGTTGCTTTTTATGGTAGAATGTTATGCCCTCTTTTATCAGGGAACCTTCTTTTCATAATTGTAGTAGTTTATCATCTTTTAGGTTCTGTTGATTGTGCATGAGTTTTGATCTATGTCCCCCATGCTTATTGTTCCTATTTTTCTTCTTTTTATTTATATATTGGTATGCTACAAATGATGCATAGGCCTTAGGTGCCAACATTGTTGGGATGCCTTGATTCTATAGTAATGTTTTGGATGCTATAATTTTTATTTTAAAAAAATGTAAAAAAAAATTAATTTACACACAATGCATAAGGATTAAGTTCAAATGATATTAATCGAAGTGAATGATGAATGATTACTTTCTCATGCCAATGGGAAGCTACCAAACATTTTATTACTTTAAAACTCTATTTGGTAAAGAAGAAAAAAAAAATAGAAGGAAAAAAATGGTTTGAATAATTATTAGAAGATTTTCATTATAATTATTTATATTTCTCCGGTCGAATAATTGTTAGTTAGTTATCTTGTCTTTTAAAATAATACAAAGAACTCTTAATTTTTCTTGTTCTTTTTATTTTTCTTATATTGTTTCTATATAATACTTTAGAATTTTATGTTAATTTTTTATAATATATTATTAGCATGATAGTCTTTTATATTAGTCATATTCACTATTGACATTGTTACAATTGGTAAGGAAAAGTTGTACAAAATTTTATTGAAGAAATTTATATATTTTTATAACTTATATTTCGATGTTAACTATTCTATCTCTATATAATCATATCATTCATACTATGCGTTTGATAGAATATTTGTATTATTTATATGATTGTGAGATTTATTTAAATATAAATAGTCTTGAAAATACTATTAAATAAATAATTTCTTCAAACATTTATGCAATGTGTCTAAAGACATTATCAAAGAAAAAACTTCTAAAACTATTTTTTGCACACCAAATTACGTACAACCATCAAGATGTCAACTTGGCTCCAAACAACATCATATACATTCATACAATCTACATGAACTATAATCAAGTGACCCTTATCTCAATTAAGCTACTTATGAAGGAGAATCAAGGTAGAAGAAAACGCCTCTCAAAAGCCTTAAAAACTAAACTCATAGGGTTTCGATCTTTGAGATCTTAAATCCAACTAGTGTTTTAAAAACTGACTCAAACCAGTCGATTTGATCTATTGAAGCATAAATCAATGACATAGTCGATCCTAACCTTGTGATGAATCACTTATACTACTAAACCAATATAAATCGATGTAACCTGACCAATTTCATGGCTTAGAGTTTAGGGTTTAGGTCTGACCACCAATCATATTTGTATGCATCCACACATTTAAATCAACAACCTAAGCGGTTTAAGGACCTCCTAACTACCCCCACCCATCATATGCGCCCACGGATTCAACATCGTCACCCTTATATCTTGAGTGATGATTCTACAATACAAATATGTTCCCATAGCTTGAGCCGCTACTTTATACTTTCTCTTATGGCTTCCTCAAGGCTTTCCTCTACTGGTGTTCTTCGGGTTTAGAAAAGACGCATAAAAAATTTCCCTATCCCTATTTTTTTGTTTTTAATAAGCCTTCAAGTTAGGTTCAAGAGTTCAACCCAAACTCCTCTCTCTCTCTGTGTATAACAATTTTTTATTTTAGTTAATAAAAATATAATTATTTTAATTATATTACTAACCTAATTAATTTAATTAATTAAGTGAAAAATATAATTATTTTATTAAACATTTATTTGATTGTATTTATGAAAAACAAACTGTTACAACAACTAAATAGCATATATATCATGAAGTCAACATCATTTCTTACTTGCAATACACTCATCAATCTCAACTTCCTTAGGTACAAGTTTCCTTACACTTGAAGAATCCCAAATTCAAAACTTAAAAGCAACATCAATTCTTAACAAGAAACCAATGGCTAAACAACATCAAGCACAACTTCAAATCATCTCAAAGAATCAAGCAATAAATTTTCCTTACCTCAATTACTTCACAAAGCAAGAAGAAGAAAGGGAGATAGAGAAATCCTAAAACCTCTCACACAATGACTTCTCCCTCAAATTCTCAGCTCCTCAAGTTGAATCACCAACTCAACTTCTCAATCTCTAGCTAAGGGAAGGACTTAAACACTCCTAGTGAAGTTAGAAGAGGAAAAGGTTTTCCTTGGCTTTAGAGTCTATTTTTCTAAAACTTCTTTCTAGAATTTAGATAAATGAACTTAAGAAGTTCAAGTTCTCTAAAAATCTTATATACCTTCTTCCCCTCAACTTAAACATCTCTAAACAAATTAACTCTCAAGGATCTTTACTACTAGAAAAATACTATTTAACGTCGCTATATTTACATCGGTTTCCTAGAAAATAATGTAAAAAAGAAGTGCGATGACAATTTTGTAAATATGTAAAATATATAAGGATATTTACATCGATTATATGAGAGACCGATGTAGAAATAAACAATTTTACATTTATACGAGGGACCGATGTAGAAATGAAATTAGTCAACTATTCTACATCAGGTTTCTTGTTGACCGATATAGAAGAGTGACCAAAATTTCCCTTCCCGCGAACGCACAGTAGCAGCCCTCATCTCAGTCGCGCCCTCTCACAACACATTCTGAGACGCACCCTAAACACTCTCAAACGCAAACCCTAAACACTCTCAGCCCTTAAGAGCTGTCTACAGTCCAAGCTCGCGGATCTTCAACGAACGACTTTCGAAGGAAGCATTGTAATAAATCTGTATAATTTGCACACTGCACATCCGAGATGATATTTATCACTCATCTGTTGGCTGAAGAACCCGATAAACTTGTAGTGAAGCCATTTTAGCTTCGTATTAGAGGTTTCCTGAAACAAGGTGGTCCTATCAGAGTTTTTGGCTATTTCTGAGGTCAGGCATTTCCATCTCTGAAGTTATTTTGTAATAAACACTTTTTTTATTTTTACATTTTAAGTTTTTGGCTGGATATCTGGATGCATATAATTTCTGGTCCTATAGAAATTTAATTCTGCAAATTATAATAGGATGCGTGAGTTTTGGTACATGTATAAAGTTCAAAAAGATTTGTTCTAATACCCCTAATTATTAATAACTGATAAGTTCTGCATTTAGATGAAGCTCTGATAACATTTTTAAACTACAAGATATCAGTGTGCTCGTGTAATATCCTTTTAGTGGTGAGTTGATCTTGGATTTGCATATTTTGTCTCGTAATTCTGTGGGGAATTTCCCTCTTTTAAGTTACTAGCATTTTTTATCCACCTTTCTGTTTTGCATTTGCTTCTTGTTATTTATATCACTATATTGCTTTCTTTTTACTAAATGTAGAATTTTATGGTTTATATTTTGTCCCTTTAATCATGTGTGCTTGTTATTATTGAATGTTTTAAACGCATCAGAAAAGGGTCTAAACTCTTCTGAGATGTTATTGAACTCCATGAAAAATGTCCCTGAATCAAGATGAGTGTTGAAAGCTTCTTCCACTTAAGCCAAACCAACAAGTTTCTCACTAATCTCCCAAACCTTGCGAGCCTTATCTACATCACTGGCCTCTTGTGACAATTGGTTTTCAAATGAAGTAGAAGCCTTGTTCCAGCTCCAGTAAACACTTGATTTTGTTAGGCTTGGATCACTCACAACCTATAACAAGAACACAAAAATCAAACATGAGAAACAAATATTCTTCAAAATCACATTGCAACATACAAAAGTGTATAAGGCTTGTTTGGATACAAGTTCAGAAAAGCTTTTGAAAGTTTCTCTACTAAAAATAAATATTTTTATCGGTAAAAAAACTCGAAAAAAATTCTTGAAAGTTTGTATCTAAACAGGTTCATAATCATCTCTAAAGTATATTATTAGTTATTGCTATTAGTATTACCTGTGCAAGTCTCTTTCCTGATTCATCTTCTGAGACAAAGCCTTTGGTTATGTACTTTTGGAAGGGAGGGAAGAGAAGTCTGAACAAGGGAATGTGTTCTCTGAACAACCCTGTTGTGGCAATGCAGCCAGGGTAAAGGGTATTGTTTGTTTCCTTGGTGTGTAACAGTAAGGACATTTTCAACTTCTTTTCTGTGTATTTTATCTGAAAACTTGTAACTCTCAATAGAAATTTATGATGTGGTGGTTGAAGTGTGTGGAGATCAGGATTTTAGACATGATATTGCATTGGCCATTCCTCATATTCTTCCCAACTTTATAAGTAAAGTCCTCTCTTCGTTCTTTCAATAATCTTTGCCAGTCAAATAACAATTAATAAACAGCTTTAACATATATATCAATGAACAGTATGAATTAATATTTAATTTTATTAAAAGATGGCACTTGAGAAATGTATGAGAAATAGGCAAGATAGATGAGAAATAAAAAAAATATATAAAAAAAAGTGAGTGTATGAAAGCAAAGAGAAATAAAAAGTGGCGCGAACCATGAGTTATAATTTTCACGGTGAAATGTGCAAATATAGCAAAGAAATAAGGATGATGATGCATTTAATTGATTAAATGTATTTGTTTTACTGCCGCCTGATTCTTTTATATGAAAAGTGTAATTGATTGATAAAATTTTGTACTTGTCTAACTTGCAAGTTATATGCAGAGCAGAGGAGTGTTTAGTATTTTGTTTTCATGATGATGTATGTGGTTTCTTTGTGCATTGGATTCATTCCATTTTTGGAAGAACTAGTGACTAGTAAGTGTAATTGATGTCCTTTTTTAGGTCACAATAATCTAAGTCTGCATCTGAGCATTGTGGTAAAAGCAGGAACCTTTGTTCGTTTGCGTTGGTTTTGAATCCTAAATAATGATGATTTGATTATTCTTGTGAGTATGATCAACGTAAAACTGCTTAAATTATTAGGTATTAAGGAATAGTTGGGGCCTGTTTTTAGGTTGTTGCTATGCGAGGAAGAATCTAAGCATTGTGAGGTCAACAATGCTTTCACATTTAGTTTCAATTTCTTCAGGGTTAAAATTTTGTTTCCGAGTAAAATCTGTATGACTGGAAGTGGAAGATAAGGATATCCACTCGAATGAAACAACTTTTTGAGGACAATAAACTAATTCTTTATTGGAAATTTTCGTTTGACAATGTATTTTGTGTATGCCAAAGTATTAAGTTTAGACGTTGATGTTTGATGGAATAGGCATGTTATGGATGTAGATATCATCCGAAAGCTTTCATGTCCACGCATCTCCTTAACTAAGCAATTCTTTATTGGGTTTTGGAAGTAAAATGGTATTCTTATCCACAAATTTTAAGTTATGGGGGGTTAAACTCATCATTCACCTAAGTAAACTCGTGTGGTTGGGATAAACATATTGTTGTATTATAAGTCAGAATAATTTGTGTGAATGTTCCTATAGCTTAGTAAATAGTACAGATTTTGTTCAAATCGTGTGTCTCTCCCAATAAACGTAGGTTATGTTTGGATTAAAAGAAAGAGATGAAATGGAAAAGAGAAGAATGAAATAATGGAATTGAATAAGGATTCCTGTTGTCATCGTTTGGAAAGTAAACGAATGCAAATGCTTCCAATCTGATTATCTGTGTTTCAAAAAAGTAGAGTGTGCACACACCGGAAGTCTGGAACTGTGACCATTTACCTGGTATCATACTATAAAATCCAATATTTATTTCATTTCCTCATTGATTATATCGAAACATATCTCTCTGCTAAGTTAATCCAAAGTTATGCTTTTTGTCTTTTCCTCATTGATTAACACATCTTTTAGCATTTGATTCTCTGCACCAATGCTCTTTGGTGGGTAACACTGTGTACTTCCTTGGTTGGCCTAAACCAAAAGGTTAAACTGTCACACATTAAAATATAGAAAAGAATAAGCATACCATAAATCCGAAAATACAAACCGGTTTGATGGCAAAATTAATGATTCATTTTTTCTCTCATTGATTCGATTCCTTTTTAGGGTCTATTATGTGGCCATAATGTTCAGTACCATGTGCTCTTGATTTAGCTTGCCTGTTTATTATGCTTTACGGTTTCTCCATTCAGCTTCATTAATTGTTCATCTTTTGTTTCCTCTACTTTGTAAATGTATAGAAAACGCTTTTCTTCAATGAGCATATCATGTTTTAGGTGCTTTTCTTTGTGAATTGATTATCTGTGTTTCAAACAAGTAGAGTGTATCATGCAAGATTCACTAGGAAACATGGCAGTATAGACCGCAGTTAGGCTCAGTAACATCTCAAAATGAGTCCAGAATCAATTCAACTAGTAAAAATGTTACATGCTGAACCACCAGATATAAAGAGAACTAGTGGAAACGAGGGAAGCAGTAAGTAGCATAAGATAAAGTTGTTAATGCTCAAATTACTAACTATTAAGCATGCCAGACAGCAATAAATTTAAAGCCATTCTGCAACCAGCAATTCAAAGATCAATGAGCCTATCTCTCTATTATAACTGACTAACAAATCAGTTATAACAACCAATGAGCCTATCTCTCTATTATAAATAGGAGTCTTGTACAGAGAGTAGGCACCAATTATACATTCTGTATTTTCAGCAATATATCCAGTATTGGAACACCAAATATATGAAGCAGTAGAGATTAACTCAGGCCAACATACACTAAAAAGTGGCCATAACAGTGTATATATATATTGCCAACATAGATTAAAAGTTCAAAATATATTATTAGATTTCATCAAACCAGATCCAAGTTACAAGTTCAAGCATTTGTAAAAGTTCATTTTCTAACCACTGTAGCAAAGCAACACTCCATTCAAAATCTGCAATATCCGTGTTTTGTTTTTTTTCACATGATGAATCAATAAAAGCATAAAGCAGACATACAAGTAATAGACCGGAACACTCTAAATACTTTTAGTTAGTCTTTTAGAACCTCTGACATAATATTGCCAATTAAAAAAATATAGCAGTAGATAATTTCCCCTACCAATTTGGCTCGAATCACTGTAGACTTCAACAAAGTCACCTCTGCACATAGAAAAGCCTTCAGTAATTCCTACACTGCTCCAATACATTGTAACCAAGAATATTATGATTATAAGATATGCCATACCATAAGATCTATTGACATTTTATTGTTTCTACGAGCTTCTAATATTCTCCATTTATTGTATTTTATAACAGGAACATATTTGAACAGGTCTTACTTTATGAATCTAATAGAAAAAGATAATCAAATACTTTAAACAGAAATTTTTGTTTCGTTATAACTAAGAATCCCACTAGCTTAAAATGTTAGGTCAATTGATACAATATGTATCTGAGGTAGCTGCAATGGAAATAGAAAATAACAGAATAGAGAGGAAAGAAACCAGATTTCCAGAGAGCAAGGCTCTCCCAAGCAAGAGAGGAGTATCTCTCTGCTCCCAATATCACTAACCAATTTCCAAAAGATGTCCCATTATTATTACAAAGAGAATATATAACCAACCCTCACTTTCTAATAACAGAATCTGCAATTTCCAAAATACCCTTCCCAGCTAACAGCAGTCTCACTAACACTCAGTATTGGGTTTTATTCTTGGGCCTCCGACTATAGACTTGAATGGGTTTGCTCCATTTGGAGGAATGGTTTCTATCAATACCGTGTCCCACAAAACTAGCCTTGTCCTCAAAGCTAAAATCCGGAAATTTGGCGCGAATGTCAGCAGCAGACTCCCAAGTGGCCTCCTCAACAGGTTGTGACTTCCAAAGGACGAGCCATTCTGCAGAACAAGAGGAATCCTTGCCTTCTCGTACTACCAACACTGTCTCCGGTGCTGGAAAGTCCTCCTCGGCATAAATGAGACCAGTGGGCATGGCAGATAAAGAGGATCCCTTGGTAACAAAATGTTTCAGTTGGGACACATGGAAAACCGGGTGATTTGAGCTGTATTTGGAAGCTGCAACTTGTAAGCTACGGCTCCCACCTTAGACAGAATTTGAAATGGCCCATAGTAACGAGGAGACAACTTGGGATTGATGCGACGAGCTACTGAGAGTTGGCGATGAGGGCGTAGCTTAACATATACCCAATCACCCACACTAAATTCAAGTTGTCGATGATGCTTGTCAGCATTCTTCTTCATGGTTTGCTGAGCCCGATGGAGATGGAATTTCAATTGTCGGAGTGCCTCATCTCGATCACTCAAAACAGCAGCAACCGAATCTACTTGAGTCTCACTAGGGAGGTATTGGATAATGGAGGGTGGAGGACGACCATAGAACATCTCAAAAGGGGTGGAACCTGTAGCTGTATGAGTGGAGGTGTTATACCAAAATTCAGCCCAAGAGAGCTACATGTACCATTTGGCTGGTTGTTCAGAGGAAAAACATCGTAAGAATGTTTCCAAACAGTGGTTCACCACTTCCGTTTGTCCATCCGTTTGCGGATGATATGAGGTGCTCATACGCAGCACAGTACCTTGAAGGCGGAATAATTCTTTCCAAAAGCTACTCAAGAAGAGGGGATCCCTATCATTAATGATAGACTTGGGCAAACCATGTAACTTCGCCACCTCACGGACAAACACTTCTACAACAGTCCTTGCTGAGAAAGGATGCTTCAAGGGATGGAAATGTGCATATTTGGACAGTCTGTCCACAACCACCAGTATCACCTCAAATCCATGTGAGCGTGGAAGACCTGTGATAAAAACAAGAGAAATATCTTCCCTAACAGCATGAGGGATGGGAATGGGTTGCAACAGCCCAGCAGGAGACATAGCCTCATATTTGTTACGTTGACAAATCTCACATTCACGAATATATGTCATAATGGCTTGTTTCATTCCGTTCCAAAAGAAACTGTTGGCAAGACGCTTATACGTCTTATTGAACCTTGAGTGTCCGCCCATCAGTGTTGCATGATATTCTTTTAGAAGAGTGGGGATGAAGGTAGAACTTGCCGGAAGCACCAACCTACCTTTGAAGAATAGATACCCATCGCGCCAAGTATAATTGGTATTAAGAACCTCACCATCCAGGATTTGGTCTCTCAACTTAATCAACTCATGATCTTGCTGAATCTCATCACGAACCTTTGGAAAGTCTGTCCAAAAAGGGCTCATAGCAATTGTGTGTAA